GTGACACCTAGCTGCCTTCTTACTATCTATATAATCTTGGTCGAGTCATTTTGCCTCCCCCTGACTCAGTTTCCTTCTCTGTAAATGGAGGGAAGTTGGTCTAGGTGGCCCCCAAGGTCCCTTCCAGCTGTACACTCATAATGCTAAGAGAGGATAATCCAGTAATACTGTAGGGTTATGACAGATGTCACCAGCTAGGGCTAGAGAGGAGTAAAAGCTCACCAGCTCTTAGGGCTAAGGACCATATCATTCCTTGGCATGCCAATGGCCGCTGCTGCTTCCAGGAAAGGCAGTGTCAGATTCCCCGTGTTTCAATAGTTTGCTAACAAGCCCAGTCCTATCCTTGAAAACCAAATTTGATCCATCAATATGGGGACCTTTACTTTGGACTCTGGACCCAGCTACAGCTAATTGCGAAATCCACTGACTTTCACCGATATTGCCTAGGAAATGAATGTAGGACTGGATCTCCATATTGCCTTATGTAACAGATGAGCCAGGGTCCCTGGCCAACCTGCCTTTTGTTTGATCCCCATAGCAAGCAGTAATCTCCTCTTTGCTATCCACTATGATTTATCAGCCTGCCATCTGCCTTAAATGTAAATGGACTGGAACCCTGCCCTGATCCTAGGATCCTTAATCAGTAGGCCTGTATGTCTTGATGTTCTGGAGCAGGCCCTGGTTAGAGTCATGAGATGGCAGAGTTGGGTCAGACCTGAGGGCTCTATCTTCCAGTCCAGCTTCCACCTGAACCTTGGATTTTTTCATTTTCTGACCTTCTATGATGGGGAGCTCATTACCATTAAAGGCCATCCCTCTTTGTACAATCCTAATTGTTAGGAAGTTCTTCCTTACAATAAATAAAAAATGGCCTTCCTATAGCTTCTAAAGCAGGCTCTCTATTCACCGTCACACTGCCTTTACGTGTAGTCGAACATTTAATCAACTGACCCTGACCACTAGTCAGAATCCTCAACTTATTGGTATTGGGAAGAGAAAGAATTATAGCTGATATCAGGAACTCAGCCATCTTCCACAAGACCATAGTTGGTGGGAAGAGACCTCAAAGGCCATTTACTCCAAACCTCTCATTTTACAGATGAGGAAACTGAGGGCAAGAAGGGTTAAGTCTTGTCCAAGGGCACACAGGTTAGCGCTAGTTTTGGGGATCTGGAGATGTAAGGGATCTCAGAGGTTATGTAGCCCACCCTCCACATTACAAATGAGGAAACTGAGGTTGAGGGAGACTAAGTGATTTGACTAAGGTCATGCAGGGCGTATGAATCAGAGATGGGATTCAGACACCAGGTCTTGACTCCAGAGCCAATTTTCTTTGCACCGTAGCTATATAACCAAGGAAAACTCGTCTGATTGCTCTTCCTTCATGATGGCCCTTCTTGGTCTTCTGTGATTCTCCCCTGCCTTTTAAACTAAGCTTCAGAATTTCCAAAGAAAGTTTCATTTCACTTTTTAATTTTGAATGTTGTAAAATGTCTAAAATAAAATAATTTTCACTAATTTGTTCAGAGTATTTTTAAATTGAGTTTTAAACAATTAAACTAATAAAAAATAAACTGAACAACATTTGGATATGCTTGTAGCATTTTGCTACAGAAAAACATTTTTCTTCAGTTAGCTGAGCTGGTAACTTTTGGCTGCCATCATGAAACACGAATGGAGATGGGGAGTTACTCCCTTTCATGATAAGAGAGAAGAGCAGAAAAGGTAGGTGATGGGGGTGACCCTGTGTTGAAAATGGATTCTAAATGGCAGTAGAACTAAGCATAGGGAATTCAAGGAAGGCAGTCTATGAACATACAATCCAGCTGGTCCATTGTATGATCAAGACTTATAAAGGAGGGGAAATGAGGCCAGAATATGGGTTATAGACTAGAAGAACAGGACTGGAGGGACTAGAAGTCAGTGGGGATTAACAATAATCATAAAAGCTAGCACTATATACATACATACATATATATGTGTATATATATGTGTGTGTGTATATATATATATATATATATGTAGTGTTTTAAGGTATCCAAAGTGCATTATAAATAGTTTATCCTCATTACAACACTTTGCCCTCATCATGAGTAGGAATAATACATGCTTAGAATGAGATCCTCAAGTCCATTCACAATCCTCTAGCCAAGTATTATTCCATTCTGCTCACTGAACTGTCAAATAAAGCATCTTCTCCACTTTCTTTTTTTAATCATACATTCTTCTTTTCTTCAATACTTACTTTATGTATTCTGTCCATCTCTCTTTCTCTCTCTTTCTCCTATTAGCAGTATGAGATCTCAAACTAAACTGTAAAGGAATAATCATTAAAACAACTTGGTGCTGGTTAAAAAGAGGTCAATCAGTGGATCACAACATACAGAAACAAAGCACAGTAGCATAGTCTTTGATAAACCCAAAGAACCTAGTCTTAGGAGGACTCACTATTTGGGAAAAAAAAACCAAAAACCTGGGAAAACTGGATGGCAATCTGGCAGAAAATCGGTTTAGACCAGGTCTGTACAACTTGTGGCCCATGCCGCTTATGGCCATTGGGCCGCTTGCCGCACACAGGCCAAAGGATTTCCTCTACAAACAAAGGATGTTTTCCTTTGGTGTGGACCAAGCCCAGGCCACGAGTTGTGTGGGCTTGGTTTAGACAAACATTTCACGCCATATATCAAGATAAGCTCCAGATGGATCTATGACTTAGATATAAAAGGTTACATCATAACTTAGAGGAACAAGGAAATGACCTGCCAGGTCTATAGATAGAAGAGGTCATGATTAAACAAGTGATAAAGATTTCTTTCATAAACACACACATATACACAAGTCTTAGTCACAGACCTACATTTGAGGGAAGGGCTCAAAGCTTCCAGGCCCAGGGCGGTGTTTCAGTCCCTAAGAAACTTCAGCTCCCCTAGAAGAACTGAACAGGAATCCTGATACCTCATTCACTACTTGGGTATCTGGAGGCATTAAGGGAGCACATCTGCTTTTCGTCATTTTTGCTCAGGGATCCCTAAAGGAGGAAAAAAAACCCATTCAGCTCTCAGATCAGAGGAGGATACTCCTCTCCGGCAGCTGATTAGGACAACAATAGGAGACTTGACTCTGCTGTGTGACACTGGACAAGTCATTTGGCAGACCTGCCAAGGATGCAGTTTCCTTATCTAATAGGGATGCTACTATGTGCCACATATACCTCAGAGCGCTTAGAGATAAATTGAGGTCATGGATGTAGGAACACATTGAACAAAGACTTTAAAAACATTAAACAAATGCAAGCGATTATTATGCATGGATGAACTCAGATGTGAGGTCACCGAGAAGGACATTTTGCCAGCTGGATCTTGCTGAGTCCAAGCAGAACTGAGTGATTTCCTCCATTTGTGCCCCTGAGAGCCCCCAGTCATTGCCATGAGTCTAGAAACTACATAAGCAAATAATCCATTACATTTGTGCTGCATTTACAATTTTTTTCCAAGGTCCTTTCACATTCTTTGTCTCATTGGAGTCTCCCCACCACCCTTGAAGTCAAATAGAGCTGGGATTATCACTGTTTCATAGAAGAGGAAACTGAGGTATAGAAAAAGGCCATTGACTAGTCACACCACTGGGCAACTCAGTGGAGCAGTGGAAAGGAGGAGAGAAGGACCGCCTTCCTTTTCACACCCAAAGGCTCATAGACTTAGCTCTAAAAGGGACCCCAGTGATCGTCTAATCCAGTGGGGCCAAACTCAAATAGAAAGGTATTCTTGGTGGGAGGCGGGCACATATTGACTTAGAAAACCACAAATTAACATTATGTTGTATTGCATTTTTACTTATTTTGTCAAACATTTCCCAATTAAATTTTAATCACACACGTGTGCACGGGTGTGTGTGTGTGTGGGGGGGGTGGCATTCATGGCCAGCAGGCAATGAGTTTGATACTTCTGGTCTAATCCAATGTCATTTTACAGATGAGGAGACTAAGGCATATAAAAGTAAAGTGACTTGTCTAAGGTCATACACAGTTAATGGCAGATTTGGGATTTAAACCTGGATCCACATCTCCACGCTGGGCAATATCCTATGTCTCACTCTTCAGAACCTCCATTCTCCCCATCCCCCCACCCCCACCCTTAACATTGCTGTTTAGGGATGGGAGATGATGAGATGAAGTTTTATCCTCCACTCAGCTATTAAATTGATCTTAATAAAGCACAGGACTGACCATGTCACCTTCCCCCACCCCACTCAGTGAACTCCAGTGGCTCTTCAGAATGTCCAGGATGAAGCAGAAAGTACTCCATTTGGCATTTAAAGTCCTTAATAACCTGTCTTCTTCTGACCTTGCCAGTCTTCTTACACCTTACTTCCCTCCACATATTTTATTATCCAGCTTTAATAGCCTACTTACTGTTCCTGGAATAGACATTTCATCTCTCCAGACTCCACGCCTTTGAACTGGCTGTTCCTCATGCCTGAAATTCTCTTCCTCCTTCCCTCTACCTCCTTACTTTCTTCAAGTTCATATCCAGACTTCTGCAGGAGCCTTTCTCAGACCCCTTCTCTCCCTCTGCCCCTCCCCAGTACCTTTCCTCTGGGATTAAATCTATATTATTATATATTGTGTGTTTTTTTGTATTACATATTATCATATATACCTTCCATCAAATATATATACACATATACATTAGACACACATGTTATATTTATATTATATGTATGTGATATATACACATATGCATGTTGTGTATATATATATATATACACATTAAACACACACATATATAAATAAACACACACATATATAAATATACACATACACACATATCTTGTATGGACACTGTTGTTTGCATATTTCTTCCCATTACCATGTGAGCTCCTTCAGGGCAGGGACTATGTTTTGACCTCGTTTACCCCAGTGCTAAGCACAATGCCTGGCATATAGCAAGCGCTTAATAAATGCTTGTTGACTGACTGAAGAAATGCCACAAAGACAAATGGTAAAGAAATAAATTTACTTTTGTTTAAAAGAGTTACTCCAGCACCTTAGGGCATCTTAGAAAGAAAAAAACCTGTCCCAGTATTGCAATCTTCAGTTCCATCACCTATAACCCAACCAGCAGAAAGAAGGCCAGAAAATCATCAGATTGACTAGAGTTGGGGGGCAGAGATGGCAAGGGAGGGGTGGCAGTGTAGACGGAAGGGGGGTACCTTCCAAGCAAACCCCAACCATGAACCCTCTGCACTCATGATGGGGGCTCCAGGATTAAGGTCTGCAGCCAGGCCACTGAGTGGCTACAGGAGACGTGGCCATACTTAACCCCTAATGCTCAGTTTGGAAGAAGGGATGCTGGTGGGTGGGTGATCTATGCCCTAGTGATTTCCTCCCTCTCATCATTCAATAGGAACTCTGTGTCTTGGTCTCCCTTGGTCACTGGGGAGACAGTTCATGGCACGAGCATGGAAAGGAGTGGAAAACAGCAGCAGGTAAGAGGGGAGACGTGGCCGAACCAACAAGACCTGGCAGTCTATAAGTGATGACTGAGAGGCAAACACCAGACCTCCCACCCGAGCCCCAGCCACCTCCCTGGCTGTTACCGGAGCTGCAAATAGGAAGGGATGGAGTAGTTGAACAGGAGGTAGTCCATCTTGTATAAATTAAAGAGTCTTCTTTGGTAGAAGGGACTGATTCCCTTGAAGAAGCGGGCTGTCTCACCGTCTGTGGTGCGAGTGATCTTGGACGAGGATGGGAAGTGTAAGCCAGCTTGGTCAGCACCGATGAGGCCCAGCACGTAGGCGGCATCCTCTTCCAGGGTCTCATACTTGCCTACAACATCATAGTGGACCAGGCAAGGGTGGCAGAGGGAGTGTGCCCGCTCCCAGTGCTCGTTGAATGGTTCTTCCTTCCGGGTGTGGGGGTCTATCAGGTAATAGAGGAATTCCTCAAAGCGGACATCATTCCCCCGAGCCAGAGCCTCAGGGCTGGGATGCTGCCGATGGCGCTGGATGATTTTGGTGCCATATCGCCTGTGGAAGGCTGTGTTGTAGCTGCGGGTAAACTTGTTACGATAAGCTGAGACCAACCGTTCAAAGGGTTCCCGAACAAACAGGAACTTGAGGTAGGCCCGCAGCCGCCGGTTAATCTCAGCGGGGCTGTAGTCCGCTAGTGTCTTAAGGTTGGTCGGCACATGGGCCTCATGTGCTGGGATTTCCAGTGGGTCTCGGTACTTACTGCCTCCCGTGAGTACCATCATCACTCGCTTCCAATTGGTACAGGCTACTTTGGGGACATAGCAGTACAGCAAGCCATGCTCATCGTCCACTACCAGGTGGCGCAAGTCCTCAGGGCTCAGCAGGCGTCGCTTACGGGTATAGAGGTTGCACATTTGACTCAGGAGCTCCCTCCGTCTTTGGTGGACCAGGTGGAGGGGGGAGTGTTGGAGCTAAGAGAGGGAAGAGAGACCATTAGAAGTGGCCATGACTCAAATGTAGTATATGTGTTACCCCCATCTCTGAGAATCCATCTTTTAAGATGGAGGACAATTTCAACTCTCTCAGGGAGATAGAATGTAACCTCCTCGAGGGCAAAGACTGTTTAATTTGAGTCTTTGTAACTCTAGTGCTTAGCACAGTGCCTGGAACATAATAAGACCTAAAAAATAGTTTTCATTGATTTAGTACAACCCTTTAGTTTTAAAGACAAAGAAACAGAGGCTCAGGGAAGCCCCCCCAAATCATACATGGAGCCTTGCCCAAGGTTAACACGTTAAGTCAGTAAGTGATTTGGGGCTGGAACTTCTGCCTTCCTTTTCTGTGCCTTAACAATGATGCATGTTGTTTCTTGGTGGAGTTGGGTCCAACACCTATTTCTAGGCCTAATTTTCCTCCGGGGGGGAAGAGGATGAGGGGTTGGGATCAAAGTCTGCCCTTGGAAAAATAAAGCAAAACAGTGAAATCAGGCTTCCTCCCACCTTGCGTCACCAAGGATCTTTACGGTACCCCCAGACTTCCCAGGGCTTGCTACTTTGGTGCCTCTGCTCAGAACTATACTCTCTGTTGTTTTTCGGTCACATCCAACTCTTCATGACCTCATTTAGGGTTTTCTTGGCAAAGATGCTGGAGTAGTTTGCCATTTCCTTCTCCAATTCAAGACACAGTATTCCCTTGGGGAAAACATAGAACCCTACCCCATGATCCCTGTATCACTTTATTTGACATATATAATCGTCTGCCCCCCAAAGAGTTGCCTCTGGAAAATCTCCAAAGATGGCTTATTTCTAGCTCATATCCTAGTTTCTACATTTTTGTTGTTGTTCAGTCATGTCTGACTCTCTGTGACCCCATTTTGAGGTTTTCTTGGCAGAGATACTATAGTGGCTTTGCCATTTCCTTCTCCATTTTAGAGATGAGGAACTGAAACAAAGAGGGTTAAGTGACTTGCCTAGGGTCACACAGCTGTTAAGCGTCAGAGGCCAGATTTGAATTCAGGAAGATGAGTCTGACTCCAGGCCCAGTACTCTATCCGCTGTGCCACCTAGCTGCCCCTAGGAGGCATACTCCCTCCTAAGCTCCAAACCTATTAGCCCTATCTACCCCAATCAAAATTTCCAGGTCTTCAGGTTAGATAATTTCATGGAAAAGTCACTTTCTCTCTCTGGTCCTCAGTTTTCTTCTCTGTAAAATAAGATGGTGGTTGTTTCAAATATCAATGTGGAATTATACAAGAAAAGTGATTGAATTGTTTATGCCCTTTGGCTCAGTGATCCCACTTCTAAGTATGTAGATGTCAAAAGGGGCAAAGTCAAAAGCAAAGGTCCATTATGTACCGAAATACTCATCACATACATACCACTCTTAATGGTGGCAAAGATCTAGAAATGAAGCAAGTACCCATGGATTGAAGAATGACTGAAAAATTATGGTTTTTTATGTAATTGAATATTATCAGACAGCAAGCAATATATTTGTATAAACTGTTGCAGAACTACTTTGAATTTACTTAGCTGTGTGAATGTTATTTCTCCAAGAAAAATGTAAGTTTCTTAAGGGCAGGGAGTCTCCATACATGTATAAAGTAATGAGAAGGAACATCACATCCTGGATAGAGAGAGCTTGCCTTGGAGTCAAGATGTGGGTTCAAATCTCATCTAAGCCACGTACCGACTGTGTGATTCTGAGAAAAACAGCGAACCTCTCAGAACCAGGCAAGTCTTTTTTTTTTTTTTTTTGCTTAGGCAGTTGGGGTTAAGTGACATGCTCAGGGTCACACAGATAGTAAGTGTCAAGTGTTTGGTCTGAGGCTGAATTTGAACTCAGGTCCTCCTGACTTCAGGGCTGGTGCTCTATCAGGCAAGTCTTTAAGATGAGAAGTTGTAGATAAGGTATTGGACTGTATTGGCAGATGGACTTTCTTACTGGAAGTTCCTTACATCAACGAAACCATAGGGGGAGAGAAGGGGGGAGAGGGAGAGTGTGTGTTTAAACATAAGATAATTTAAAATAATTTCAAGAGGAAGCAAGTAGTGACAGCTGCTCCTCAATAAGGTTGACCTGGCAGGGATCATTCTCTTCACTGAATGTTGAGAAAATGAGTTAGGTTCAGGGGAGTAAAGTGGAAAGAGCCCCCAGTTGGGAGCCTGGAGATATGGTTTTAGTCCCAGCTCTGCTGGGAAATGTTTCCTCTTGGACAAATCATTTAGTTTCTTTGGATTTCATTTTTCTCATATATAAAGTAAGGGGTTGGGCCTAGCTGATTGCCAAAGTTTAGGGTTGGCAAAATCAAAATTAAAATGCGGCACATCAGTTAGAAACAACTAAGATAAAATACCAGCCAAATATCACTTGGTTATGGAGTTCTCTTCCAGTTTAAAAATTGCATGATTCTATGATTTGCCCAAGGTCACAGGGCTCATCTTTGACAGAGCTGAGATTAGAACCAAAGGTTATAAACTCCTAGTCTATGGGTCTTACCCTTGCCTTGCCCTGTGGGGATCCCCTTTCCTTGGAAATATGACTGAAAACTCAGAAAAACAGTTTTATCTCCTGCATATCAGATCGGCCAAGTTGGTGGAAGAAGAAAATGGTAAATGTTGGAAAAATTGTGAGAAGTCAGGCATACTAATGCATTGTTGGTGGAACTGGGGATGATTCAACTGTCCTAGAAAAGTTTTAAATTATACTCAATGAATTACTAAATTGCCTTTGTCAAGCCCTCTTAATTCCGGTGCCTTCCCTCTCTCAATTATTTCCTATTTGTCCTACATATAACTTGCTGGTATATATTTGTTTCTTCACTGTCTCCCCCATCAGATTGGGAGTTCCTTGAGAGTAGGGACTATCTTTGGCAACTCTTTTGTATCTCCGGTGCTTAGCACAGCACCTGGCATATAATAGGTGCTTAATAAATGTTTGTTGACTGACCTATCACCATTGGACATATATAGCACTAGGAGGTCAAAGACAGAGGGAAGGATCCCATAAATACAAAAAAAATCCAGACATAAGTGAACATCCGTCAGCTACGGAATGGTTGAATAAATTATGGCATATGGATGTAATGAATATTATGGTGCCATAAGAAATGATAATTACGAGGAACTCTGAGAAACCTGGGAAGACTTGCATGAATTGATGATGCAAATGGAACCAGTAGAACAATTTCTACACCACGACCAAAAATGTCAAAAAAAACAACACCAAGAGATATCAGATCTCCAGTTGATGCAAAGACCAATCTTTACTCTGCGTGGCTGATGGGGAAACATGCCTTCCTCCTTTTGGCAGAGCAATGATGGTGGGCTACAGAGGAAGAACATGGCAGACATAGCCAATGCATTGGTTTGCTTTTGCCTGGCTATACTCCTTTGTTACGAGAGAGGGCTCCGATGAGATGATGTAAATATTGGAAAGTTACAATTATGCATGGAAAGCATCCATAAAATGTTTATTCTATTTTTAAAACTTTATTTAACTTCCCTTTCCCCCTCAACTTGCCCCTCTCAACTGAACAATAAATAAAACCTTTGTAACAAATATTCATAATCAAGCAAAGCCAATTCCCACATTGCTCATGTCCAAAACTATAAGTCCCTTTCTGCGTTTTATATGCATTGTTCTCTAGCATGCTTTATGTTTCATTCTCTGGAATCATGGTTTTTTATTGATCAGAATTCTCGAGTCTTTCAAGGTTGTTTTTCTTAACAATGTTGTTATTATTGTATAAACTGTTCTCCCGGTTCTGCTCACTTCATTCTGCATCCATTCACAGAGATCTTCCCAGTTTCCTCTGAAACAGCTCCTTTCATCATTTTGAGGGTACAATAATATTCCATTACATTCAGATATTATGATTTGTTCAGCCATTTCCCAACAGAGGTATACCTCTTGGTTCAACACACTTATTCCAAAAACTACATTTGCAGACTAATAAATCTTTTTCTGAATTTCCTATTTGATCAGATTTGTCCAGACCTGTGTCTGAAATTGCAAACTCTAGCTCAGTGGGGTCCCATTAATGAGGTTCTGCTGCTGACTTTAAGGGGCCTTTCCCGGCCAGAGAAGGGAGCCACCTGCCTACAGATCATAAGCCTTAGACACAGGAGAGGGATTTCAGGACTAGAGAGCCATTTTCTTCTCGCCTAGGAGGTTGACAAAAACAGGTCACAGCGTCTGTGGCCGAGGGTCCTAACTTTTAAGAGAAAAAAGCAGCCCAGCAGGGCACTGTGCACCTCCTCAAGGGACAGCTTCCTGCCTGGCTCCCTGCCCAGCTCAGTGTGACCTCACCTCGCCACATGGGCCAGGAGCTGTCTGTGGAATGCTGACTTGGCAGGCTCAGGCCTTGGAGCCTGGCTGTCCCGTGCTGTGAAATCCTCTCCTCCTCCTTGGGTAGCTCTCTCTATATGTCTCTGGATTCACTCAGGGGCCAGGTTCAAGCTATAATGGGAACTATAAGTTCAGAGTTTTCTGAATCTCAGGCAAAAAAGATTCTCCACCATAGCAATTGCCCGGGTCTGGTTTTCTGAGTTAGGGACTTTAAAAAAAAATCTTTAAAAAGAAGTAAAGAAACATAGTGGCTGGGTGTGTGCCTGTGGGGAGGATGTAGGTACCCACTCTTGGTGGTCAGGGAACATCCTCTCTCCCTCCAGTCCTGCCAATCAACCAAAAATCAACAAGCAATTATGAAGTGCCTACTATGTGCTAGACATCATACTAGGCTCCCGCAATTCAAAAAAGAAAAATGAGGCAGCTCCTGCCCTGAGGGTGACTTCTGTTCTGTACTCTTACACATTCTCGGGGCTGTCAACTGAAATGAGGAGGGGTTGCCCTGAATTATCCATACTGTCATGTCTGGTTTCCCTTGCCATCACCCCTTTCTCTCCCCTCCTTTCCTCTGGTGTCTGATAACAAGGTGATCCTTCTCCTTGCCCAGGCCAGTGCCTCTCCCTATGCCCTGATCCCATCCCCACCCCACCCCCACCACTGGCTTCTGCAGCAGATTGTCCCTTCCAATTTTTAATCTCTTCCTTTTCTAATAGTTCCTTCTCTGCTACCTTCAAACATACCTATGTCTTCTCTCTCCTTTAAAAACCAAGCTTTAAAACCAAAAAAACCCTTCTCTAGCTGCCACCATCCCCTGAAGCTGCTATCCCCCACCTCACTTTCATTTATCGGCCAAACTCCTGGAACAAGTTGCCTCCAGCTGTGGCCTCTCCTTCCTTCTTGTTATTCAACTACTCTTGGCAGTCTGACTTCCACCCTCATCACTCTCCAAAATGGCCAACTATCTCTCAATTGTCAAGACAGAAGGTCTCGTCTCATCCCTCGTCCTTCTTGAACTCTCAGCTACATTTGAACCTTCGCCCACCTTCTTCTCCAGGATACCATCTCTCCTTTGTGAGCTTTTGTCACTCCGTTCTTTCTTGGTTCTCCTCCCTTGGGCCTGCTTCCTCTACTATCTTCTTTGCTGGTTCATTGTCCGCTTCATGCCTCCCAGCTCTCGATGTTCCCCAAAGCTGTCTTCTCCCTTTACGTTCTATCTTAGCGTCCTCATCAGCTTCCATGGGTCTAATGATCACCTCTATACCAATGACTCACCCATCTTCCTCCTGAACTTTGCTCTCAGATCACAGCCTACCCAATTCGATTTTCGAAACAGGGTATCCCAGAGACAACTTAAACTCAACATGTTTAAAACAGAATTAATTCGAGTTCTCCTCAAACCCAGTCCACTTCCAAACTTCCCAATTTCTGCCAGAGGTACCATTGCTCATTTGGTTTCCCAGGTTCATAACCTTGGCATTATTCTCCATTCCTCACTTTCCATCACCCCACTTATCCAATCAGTTTCTAAATCTCGTCATTTCTACTTCCATATCTCCCACATCTGACTCCTTCTCTCTACTGATACAGCTCCATCTTAGTTCAGATCCTCATTACCTCTCACCTCAACTACCATAATGGCTTTCTAATTGGCCCCCTGCCCCTCACTCCAATCCATCTTCCACCCAGTTGTCAAAGGGATTTTCCTCCAATGAGGCTCTGACTATGTCACTCCCTACTTAATAAATTCTTGTGGCTCCCTATTGTCACTGTCATATATCAGACACAAAATTCTCTATTTTAAAGCCCTTCACCACCTGGCTCCAAGCTTGCCCATCTCAAACTGCCCTTCTTGCTGTTTGTCCATCTTCCATCTCTCTGCCTTTGCACTGGCCATCCCTTATACCTGGAATGCACTCCCTCCTCACTTTAGCTTCTGTGAATCCTTCTCTTCCTTGAAGACACAGTTCAAGCACCAACTTCTACCTGAGATCTTTCCTGATCCCCCCCTTCCAATGTAGCATCTTCTTCCCTAACTAGTTTGTATTTATAAAGTAGGTGTTGATTGTGTATTACGTATGTGTGGACTTGTCTCCTTCTAAATAGAACCTAAGGTCCTGGACAGTAGGACTTGTTTATTTCAATCTGGTATTCATATCCCTAGTGCTCAGCACAGTGCCTGGTACATGGCAGATACTTACTAAAACCTTCCTGATTGATCGATTGATCGATTGCCCTTGTGTTCAAGGCATGATCAGGCTTCCTCTTAGGCCTGACACCACCTAAGTAGCACCTGAATGGAAAGTACCAGCTGAAAGGACCTCTTGGCAGAATGATGGGAGAGGAAGTTTGTTTGGATTCACCTTCCAATCCCCTCTCCCACTCCTGGAGAGGCTTAGTTTCAGCCTGGTGGTCAGCTAATCCATGCTAAAGTGTTGCTTGATGAAGCTTTATGGTACCTTCCTTTCCCAGGGATATGTACAAAGTATCATTGGAGACCTATAAAGGTCAAATGTTCAAAATTTTCCAATGGTGGAATTTCTGGCAGTGAGAGAATTTGTTTTGAGTAGAAGGATGAAGGCTGATTAATGCCCTTCCAATCATGCCTTGTAGGCAGCTATTTCAACTTTTTATAAAGCCTTCCTGGTGGTGACCTTAATCACTCTCAAATCTATCGTCTACTCTGCAGTCTCCCAACTAGGTCTAGGGAGGACCCCATGGCAGAGAAGGCTACTAGAAGACAAATGGACAATGCAAAAACCTAGAATGTTGCTTTCCCTATCATCCCTCTCCCTCACCTTCCCAAGTGAACTCTGTTTGTCAGGCCCCAGACCTCACTCACCTGGTCATTGTCATAAAGTGCCTGAAGTGGACTTCTCCCTGTCTTGCCAAGCCAGCTGGAGCTCAAGATCCTGTCCTCAGCAACTGGGTGAGTAAATGAGGAGAAACAACAAGTTATCCTCTGGAAGGTCAATCTGGTATAGCTGGGGGTGGGGATAGGGAGGAGAGGCAGAAAGGAGGAGTGAAGAAGGAGGGAGAGAAGAAGGGAAAGGGAGAGGAGGAGGGGGAAACAGAGGAAGGGAGGGAAAGGGAAAAGAATGGGAGAGAAAGGGGGCAGGGAGGGGGAGAAGGGAGAAAGAGAGAGAGAGTGAAGGGAGAGAAGGGAAGGGAGGAGGGAGAAAGAGGGAAAGAGACAGGGAGGATGGAGAAAGAGAGGGACAGGAGGGAGAAAGAAGAGAGGGGGAAGAGGAGGAGGGAGAAGGAGAGAGGGAAAGAGGGAGAAAGAGAGGAAGAGGAGGGAGAAAAAAGAGAGGGAGGAAAAGGGGAGGGAGAGGAGGACAGAGAGAGACAGAGACAGAAAGAGAAACAGAGACACACAGAGATAAGAGAGATGCCCTGGGGGAAGTGGAGCTATAGAGTGAAAATTGTGTAGGATGGGGAATTAGGCAATTTGGACTTTTGTCTCAATATGCTACTGATTTGCTGTGGGACCTTAGACAAGTCCCTTTCCCTCTCTGAGACTACTTCCTCATCTTAGTGTTACAGGGGACAGGGCTCAGCTCACAGCTCTTGCATGGAGATGACCCTCCAGGGTCATCAGTGAAGCAAATGCAGAATCTCACTGGTCACGTGCTCAGTGCTGATGGAGACAGTAAGGGCCTTCCCTGTCTGTCTCCCTCGTGAACAGCAAATGAAACACCAAATGGGAAAACCTTCTGTCATCTTACCTGTGTGAAAGAGCGAGATGCACTAGGGTGGGGCTCAGAAATGCTTACGGTAGTGTAGATCTATGACATACAATTCTTTAAATGTAGTTAACATTCCCTCCCCACTTCAAGCGTCCCCCTGACCAGGAGAAGCTCTAGGGTGGGGCTGCTGCTGGGAGTGGAGACCACCTGGAGGAACCGAGAGGCTCCGGGAGGAAGAGGTCAGAGGAAGGGAACAGAATCTATCTTTGCGGCTTCCACCCAAGGGTGTCACAGGGGTTGTAAAGGCAAACCAAATGAGTTTTTTAAGAAATGATTTTTAAATCTTCAAGCTTAGCACATTTTGCAGGACTGCCCAGAAATCATGAACTAGACATGGGCCAGCACTCCCTAAAGCTACAGACAGACAGAGAGAAAGATAGCCAGATTCCTTCGTCAACCTCAAAGGGTTAGATAAATGTTAACTATTAACATTTAATTAATTAACGTTAACAGCTCTAATGGGGCTATTGTGAGTCAAGGGCTTTGAAGTCCTTAAAGTGATTCATAAATGTGAGTTATTATTATTATTACTTCAAAGGATTAGCTCTGCTTTATGTATGTGACCGTTTTGAAATATACAAAGTACTAAAAAAAACCATTTAAGGATGTTATAATTTTCTTTATTCATTTCAAATGAATCTCAGGACTTGAAAAAGCAGCCGACTGGGGGTTATTTGGAGTCATTGTGTTGCAGTGAAAAGACTGAAGTAGGAATCAGAAAAGCTGGTTTCAACTCCCGGCTCTATTATTAGCTCACTGGGTGACTTCCACTCTCTGACACTCAGTTTCCCTCTCTGTAAAATGAGAGGACTGGACTCACTGCTCTTTAAGGGTCCCTTCCAGCCCCAACATTCAATGAGTGGGGAGGAGTCCTGTCCAGGACAAGCACCACCCAGCTGCAGAGCTGTCCGGCATGTGGTATTTCTTGGCTAGAATACTGGCTTTCCAGGGAAAGGGTGATTTTTCCAGACTTACTTTGTTGGCCATCTCTACCTCGTGAGGTGGAAATCTACCAAAGGAAGGCTATCAAGGAAGAAACGCAGACCCACTTTCAGCCATGGACTAGAGAGGAAGAAAGCAGCAGACATGCGCCAGCCCTGGCCTCACTCTCCTCTGTGGCGTGTGTGCCTGACCAATCACCAGCCAGCCAACCCCTGGGCAGTAAATCATTTTCCCTTGGCTCGAGAGAAGGGACCCAGCCTGATGCCAAACACAGACCTGCGCTCTGGAGGACCCAATGTCCAGACACTATAGTGAGCTGATTCCCTCCTAGGACAAAGGGGTTGGAGGGCCAAATGTGGGGTTGCTTGACTTTGCTTTCCCCACCTACCTCCTGGATTTTCCCCCTTCCCCTGTAGCACCTCAAAACTCAGAGGTTTCAAACTTCAGCCTATGACACAGATGGCTCTTTTTCTGAGTCATCTTGTGTAGTGGCAAGGTCCTGGAATCAGAGGACCCAAGTTCAAAGCCCCTCTCTGATACTTACTATCTGCATGACCTTGTCCAAGTCATTTCATCTTTTTTAAAAATTTATGAAACAAAACAAGCATTTCCATAACATAGTATAATAAAAAAGATGATTGTACATGAAACTGAAAATCTATTACGTACAACTTGCTATTCCTTTTAAATATATAATTAAATTATCATATAAATTTCTTTTTTTCTCCCCTCCATCTTAGAGATGGCTATCATTAGACACAAATAAGTGTTTATACATACATATATATGCATGTACATAAAATTATTCTATATATACTTCTATTTATCAGTTCTTTCTATGGATGCTATAGGAAATAATGAGCTCAATGATCTTAGAAAAACATGGAAAGACTTGCATGAAAAAATGAAGAGTGAAATGAGTAGAACCAAGAGAACACTGTATATGGTATCAACAATATTGTTTTAAGAACGACATTGGGGAGCAGCTAGGTGGTGCAGTGGATAAAGCTCTGGCCTTGGAGTCAAGAGGACCTGAGATCAAACCCAGCCTCAGATACTTAACACTTACTAGCTATGTGACCCTGGGCGAGTCACTTAACCCCAATTGCCACACACCAAAAAAAAGAAAAAAAAAAGAAGAAAAAGAATGACTTTGCGCAACTAAGTCGTTTTGACTATTGTAAATACCTAAATTGATTATTAAGGACATATGAAGAAAGACATTATCTGCATCAAGTCATTTAATCTTGGCCCAAATCTATGATCCTATACAAGTCAAGAAGCAGGCTGGGTATAGGACAGGGCAGTGACTCAAGTAGCTTTGATGCGCACAGCTTGAAGTGTCCATTTCTGGTGGAGAACACTTGAAATGTGAAAAGAGAAAGGGGAGAGAAAAAAGGTAAGAGGGTTGGGAAAGGTCAGAGGGAGAGATGGAAAAGAAGAGAGGATTTTGTAGGGTTTCTGAAGAAGCAGAGAACACTGAATCATGACTTCCTCGATAATGATAGGCCTGGGACTTCAGAGCACATGGGCAACTGAGAAGAGTGGGAGTGAACAGCGTGGTGAAGCCTGTGCAATGGAGACATCATCTGACCCCAAGTCTCCATGGATTAAGAGCAGGAAGAACCTCTCGAGATTAGCTATTCCAATCTGCTCATTTTCCAGATGAGGAAAGAGGAGACCCAGAGAGATGAGAGGACATGGACCATATTTTCCACTGCCTTCCTCCACCATTCCTTCCATGTGTGATTGTTTACCATCATATCTCTCCTGTCATCTCTCTGTGGAATAATGTGAAGAATCCTAGTTGGGAGGTGTGAGTTCTAGTTCTCATTTGCTGAGAGACTTGGTTAAGTCATTCTATGAGTCTGTTGTCCATATTCAATTCAATGCAACAAGAATTTATTATTTATAATATTTATTTATATTTATATACATATAATATATTATATATAATATATTATATATAATATATTAATTTTTATATTTATAATTATTTTTATATTTATATTTTATATTTATATATAATATATTATATGATATATAATATAATATATAATAATATAATTTTATATATAATATATAATAAATATATAAGTATATACATTTATAATATAAATATTTACATATTTATAAGGGCAGCCAGGTAGTACAATGGATATAGTGCTGGGTCTGGGGTCAGAAAAACCTGAGTTCAAATCCAGCCTCAGACACTTACTAACTGTGTAACCCTGAGTAAATCATTTTTTGTTTGTCTCAGTTTTCTCACCTATAAATTGAGTTGGAGAAGGAAAGGCAAACACTCCAGCATCTCTGAAGCAAGAAAACCCCAAATGGGGTAGCTAAGAGTCGAACACGACTGAAATGAATGAACAACAACATTTATAGGATTATAGATCTACCACTATCAAGGACTTCAGATGCTATCTCCAGCCCTGTTATTTTTACAGATGAGTGAAGGGAGATCCAGGAAAGTCTCGTAGTTATTAATTGCAGGATTTGAACCTAAGTCTTCTGTCTCCAGAGACAATGCTAAGCACTAGATAGATCCAAGTCTACCCTCTCCTTCCTTCCCCTCTCCTGTCCCTGTCTGTGTCTCTATCATTTTCTGTACCCCTATCTCTATCTCTGTCTCCATCTTTCTCCATTGTTCTGAGCCATCAAGGATAGCGCTAGGTGGTAAAAATTACATGGTTCCTACCCTCAAGTTGCTTATGTTCTACTTGGGGGAGAGGAGAATTCATAAAACAAGTGGTTAGATTAAATGATCTCTTGGTGTCCTTTCAGCCCTAAAGTCCTATGATATCCCCAGAAGTCTCCCCAAATCAAAGGGCATTCGGTTTATATCCAGGTTTCCTCCCTCTCAGCTCCAGGCCCTGCTCCTCTGACCACACCACTCACTTCTACTGCCTCTGCCTTCCATCTGGGGCCAGGCTGGCAGAGTGTGGTTTTTTGGCAGAGGAAGCAGCCATCCAAACAGAGGCTGAGGAGACAAGTGTCTATGTGTTTCTCCTAAAACAAACACAATATCCAGGCTGGAACAGAGAATTGGATCCTTAGCAGGGCTGTGGTTGAGCCTAAGGAGGAGTAGGGGTGGACTGAGCCCTTTAAAAAAAAAAAACACCAGTGACAGGAAATGTTTACTGACACATGCAGATTTTCCTGAGGTTGGGGCGGATAAGAAGAGGAGACACCAGCTTGGTCAGGGTGAGGTGAGAGGCAGTGGGATGTGGT